GCAACTAAATTATTTCAAAGAATATGATTAAAATAGGTGTGTGTGTGAATGGGTGCATGAACTAGGGGGGGTGGTCCATAACGAACCACACTCCATACCAGCAGGTGGCGGTAATGCTGCTTAAAGCTTGTTGCAAACCGCCAATAAAATCAACAACAAGAAGAAGAAGAAGATTTGGTCTACACTGCACAGGGCGTTTATTTTGAAAAAAAAAAAAAGCCCACCGGAAGTGATTCCTCATAGGCGCTGATACAAAGATGGCGCAAGAGGAGAGCCAGTTTGAAGAATTTGAGCAAATAGACTTTTTGAGAGATCGCCATGTACGATTCTTTCAGAGAACCCTCCAGGTGTTGCCTGAGAGATACGCTTCGCTGGAAACAACCAGGCGAGTTTACGGCTGACAAGATGGAGGCTGTATGCTCTGTTCTGGCTTTTGAAGAACTTGACTAGCATCTGAGCTAGCTGGCTTTCACCAGGAGATTTGAATGGAGACAAGGAAACTACTTAGCATACCTTGTACCACTAAGAAGTTAGTGAAAGCAGAATTGTTGTAACTAGGAATGACATTTGCAGCTGGGTCAACTATTTTTTATTTCATGCAACAAAAAAAAAGAGGAAGTTGATGCTGACGATACGTTTAATCCAACTGAATTGTATTAGCCTTCATTAAATGCATGTTTTAATAAAGGAAATGATAATTTATCAACAATTTAAACACATTAGCATGGTTTTCTACTTGTGGCCTTGCATTTTGGGGGTTTCTTATTTTGATATGTTGTTTTCATTTAATTGGAATTCTGATATGATTAACATTTAAGTTCAATTTCCAGGTTGACCGTCATGTTCTTTGCCCTGTCTGGCCTTGATGTACTGGACGCACTTGATGTAGTTGACAGAGACGTCATGATCGAGTGGATATACTCCCTACAAGTTCTGCCTACAGAGGACAGTAAGTTTAATATCTTGCATTTAGACATCTGACTCAAAGTGAAAGTCTTGCAGTGTGGGAAAGGCCTTCCTGTTGCCCTATTTAACAAAAAAAGGCCGGCATTTCCTTTGTGTCTGCCAACAGAAAGACACAGTTTGCCAATGTTTCCTTCATAGTGCGTGTTTCTACACAGCTCCTTTTCGAAAAGGATAGATAAATACATTTCCAAATGGGAAAACAACTGAGGTGGGGTGGATAGTTGTGCATGAAGCAAAACAGAACTTTTCGGAGTTTTGCATGAGGCGTATGCTAATCCAAAACACGTGTTTCTCTTTTTACATTTACTAGAGACAGCCAGGCTTATACTGGACACAATTTTCCTCAGGTGGGAGTTCATGTCTTCTTTTGCTCTCTCCCAAGTTGTGAAACTGAAGAGATTTCTTTTAGAGCTGGATAATGGCCTCCATGTGTCCTCACGTAACCGGTTAGAGATTTACAGCTGCTCATCAGAGAAAGTTGGGCTTTCAGTTTTTAATTGCTTGTTTTTTTTTCTTCCTTTACTCTAATGAGCCACTATGTGCCATCTGCTTGGATGTCCATTTAATTCATTATTCAAGACATCAACAGAGATGATGGAGGGATGGTCCTGCTTGATTGAGCTTGGCGTTGCTGCTGCCATATGTTTGGAGTCTAGCGGGTTTCTTGTCATTAGACGTGAAAACGCAGCTTCAGAGGCACCTGTGATTCTCCTAATCTGTCATCTCTATGGTAATGAGTTGTTTTAATAATCAGGATATTATGGAGTTGTTGTTGGATGTGTTGTTGATGCCAAATTAGGTGCAGGTGATTCAGTAGATATGTGGACTGTATGCATTCATTCTGCGTATGGAGGGCGTGCGTCTGCGTTTCAGGGAGAAGGTGGTTCTGAATGCTTACCCATTAGTTTGGCCCAGGTGTTAAAACGGAGGAGGGTGTGTACTTTTCATCGTGTGAGGCAGTGCGCTTTGAGAATGATATGGCTGTCAGTTGGTTTGACACATGAAGGTAGCGATGCATTTGTGGAAAAGCTACTGACTCATGTTGGGAGTGACATTTCATGAGGTTTTCTGTCTTTGGCAGCAGGTGGCAGCAGAACGCCTTACTATTGGTCAGTATGGTTGCGGTATCTTGGTAAAAACAGAGAGGAGAGACAAGTCACAGGATTGGGTTTTTTCGTTTTAGCTTCTTTTTAATATTTACCAGGACGTGATGCCTGATATCTGTACCTCCACTGTTATTCTCTTCCAGAATCTAACCTAAGTCGTTGTGGATTCAGAGGATCTTCACATATTGGAATTCCTTACAGCACTAAGGTACTAGCTGTTTTCCTCCTATTTCTTTTTGCTATTTGCCTTGTTTTTTAAATGAAGCACTCCCTCCTCTTAAAGTTTTTTTTTTTACAGTTAGTTTCTTGTCCATTTGCTGCCATTTTGCCATTTCGTTTCTCCCTAGTTTTTCTTTCTATTTTTCACTTGTATGTGTCTCTTATGTCATTCGGGTGTTTTTCTCAGGGTCCGGGTGTGCTCCATCCATATGACAGTGGCCACGTGGCCATGACCTACACCGGCCTGTGCTCACTCCTTATTCTGGGAGACGACCTGAGTCGGGTTAACAAACAGGCCTGTCTGGCTGGCCTCAGGGCGCTGCAGCTGGAGGACGGCAGGTGAGCACACCCATGAATACAAATACTTTTTATACTATTTATTTTTGTCTCTTAACTCAAATATACCACGAGTCATGTGACCCACCGTAGGCTTAACATTTATTAGCAATAATCTAAATTTGAACCTTCTCCAGTTGGGGATATAGGGAACAGGATCAGGACCATTTTGAGATGTAAGATACATTTGCATAGCATGCACACATCCTTCCTTTTTTATTTTTCAAACGTCATCAGATACTCCAAAAATGATTTTACTTGTGTGAGATTCACTATAAGAACAAGATGTTGGGGCATTTTTACACTGGATGCCATGTACCTACTGTCTAGTTAGAAAGTAGACTGCTCTCACGCTTACTTTGCTTTGTAAATTATTTGCCAATCTTCTAAACAAAATGACCCTTCAGGCTCTTTACTGTCCCACATTCTGGTGAGTATAAGGGAATAAATCTGGTGAACTTAACTCGACTTTAATCTAGACTATAAACTATAAACAGAAGCTGCCGATGTGATGATGAAACTCCACACGGCCTTCTTCCCTTTGTGACAGTTGCCTTTCACGTAAAACAGGAAGTTGTTTTTCTTTCAGTCCAAGTAATGACCAGTCATGCAATTACAGTGTTTTGTATCATAAATCTGCTAATTTGACACGTTCTCTATTTGAGCCCACATGAAACTCGGCCTTAGGGCACACAGTAACTTAATGTGATAGTCCTTCATGGCGGTTTGCGTCTCCCTTTCAGTTTCTACGCTGTCCCAGAGGGAAGTGAAAACGACATACGCTTTATCTACTGTGCAGCCAGTATCTGTTACATGCTGGATGACTGGTCGGGCATGGACATCCAAAAGGCCATCGAGTACATCCGAGGAAGTTTGGTGAGTGGATGTTAAAAGATGGAGTCCATCCATCCATTATCCACCGCTTATCCGGGGTCGGGTCGCGGGGGCAGCAGCCGGAGCAGGGAAACCCAGACTTCCCTGATGGAGTGACATTTTCAATTCGGACTATCTGATGCACCTCCAGTAAATGAACACAATCGGAGTGAATGCTTAAGCTCACCGAGGCTAGCTCTGCACCACTGGAATGAGATGAACAGACCACTATGCATAGAAATCCTTGGTTTCTAATAAATGGTGGTGACTGGGCAATGGCTCGTGGTTTTAAAGCTGTAGCAGAGGCTGTTCCCCTCGGACACATCAAAGCTCTCAGTTTGAGGTTTTGCCTTGTGTTTCTTTCACTGTTCAGGTCCTCGAAGCAGCTTCAGCTTCTATTCAGTTTGATGTTGAATATAGAGAGTTGATTTAATAGAATCTGTATTTTTTTTCATAAATATACGGATGAGGTGGAGAAAAGTTAATCAGATGATGGATGCATGAATCATACAACTGAAAACAGTTTTAACCACTGGCTGTATTGGAAAGGGCCTCTACTAGATTTGAATAGATGTCTATTTACAGAAAGCTATGGTCGTGGATGTGTGTTAAGAGAAGTTTATCAGCCACACTTAAAGGTCGACTGGCATTTGGGCCGGACCAGGCGCCCAATTTTTGCTTTTGGCCGACCGGAAAGACAGACAGAGGACGGAGCGTTGTTGGTTTTTCCCAGGCGGCCGCCCTCTCATGTTCAGCGTCTGTGTTTTCTCTGAACTCCTGCTTGTAGGAGGCCGTTTTGTGTGGCTTTGCTTCAAAGCACTGCGGTTTCAGGGGAACTGGAGGTGTTTCTAAAGAAAGCTTAAAACTATGTGCAGGTTTGTGATCTCAGATTCAGGTCGCAGAGCCTCTTCATTCATTATTGCCAGTTGTTTGTCTTATGCTTCATAAAAAAGTGTATTTAGACTCATATTAAAAAGAAACAATGACTATTTCATGGCCATGTCAATGGAAAATAAGAATAAAAAAGATGAAGTAATTTATGATGGGTGTTTTTCTGTCTCCACAGTCATACGACAATGGGTTTGGCCAGGGAGCGGGGAGAGAGTCTCACGGTAAGTTGATACCTTGTTCCAAAGTTTAAAAAAAAAAGAAAATATATGATTATGACACACTCACACTGTCAATGCTCCAGTGGTAGACTTGAGTGATTGTAGGTGATTTCCTCTGCTGATGAATTCCGCGTTGGTGGGCAGATGGGGCCTGGGAGGGGTGGTTTGCTCCCACACTGAGCTCCTGCAGTGTGCTCAGACACGCCGGCATTGTGCTGTTGATACTTTTGTCGTTCAGTCAAACCTAGAATTACAGAAAAACCCATGTGCCTGGGCAGGAACTTGCGATTTTGTCTTTGTGCCCGTTACATTTATCTGTTTTGATCTCACCACTTCCTCCATATTTCACGACGTTTTGGCCTATTTGCTTTCCCAAAGTATACGTTTCAGAGATGTTTTGGGGCATTATTATTACATTATGGAAAATTCTTATGTTGTGTCACGCAAAACATTGCAAGACAGGACTGTTCCAATACTGTTTTGGAGCTTTTTCATGAAGTTAATTGCCTCTGTTGGAATAAAAGGTGTTGGTTCTTTCTGCTGGGCCCCTGGCAAAGAGGTTTGCTTGATTAGAGGCATCTGTGACAAGATGGCAGATTTACTCCCCAAAAAAAAAGTGTCCTTAATTGCCTGCTTCTCTCTGTTCCGTCCCAAACTAAAATTTTCTGGGTGTACAACACACAGGATTAACACAATAATTAACTTTATTACGTTTTCTAGGAAAATATAACATATATACATAGCATAAATATAGCTCCAAGTTCTTGTAACGTCAAATTAAAGGTGTAGTCAGGTGTTTGGCAGTATGTGTGTCCGCATTCTGCCACGCTGGTTTTCCTCCAGCCGTGTAACGCCCGACATGTCAGCGAGATACTTTTAATCTTTAATCAAAAGGCCGGATCTTGAAGTGGATTTGTTGGTGTATTTATCTGAACTGCGCGTGTCCTGTGGATGCAGGTGGCTGGACGTACTGCGCCATAGCCTCCCTGTGCCTGATGGGCCGACTGGAGGAGGCGCTGAGTCAGCGGGAGCTGGACAGGATCCGGCGCTGGTGTGTGATGAGGCAGCAGAGCGGCTTCCACGGGCGGCCCAACAAGCCCGAAGACACGTGCTACTCCTTCTGGGTGGGAGCAACGCTGGAGGTAAAGGCAGACATAACAAGCCGGCGCCCGGCCGCGTGCTCCGACACGTCGGCTTAGCTTGACTGAACTGGATCGCGTTTCACCGCATCTTCATCCTAGTCAAAAATATTCCACTGACGTTCGTCCAGCGAATACTGATATACATATGCTGCATGCAGAGCTCAGCAGAAGCCGTACACACCAGCACACCAATCTGATGAATACTGAAACACAGAGAACGAAAATGACTAGCATGCATCTTTGGAGCCAAATAAGTATTCTAAGCAGCTCGAAGGAAAAAGCGATGGCTCTCTGATTCGTGTTTCTTTGTGGATGTTTTGTAAACAATTTCATAGGATAAATTATGATTTTTTTTTTGTGTCCCTTTTTTCTTCTTTTTGCCTCTGTTTTCAGTTGTTAGATGTGTTCCGGTACACAAACTTTGAAAAGAACAGGAGCTTCATCCTGTCCACGCAGGATCGGTTGGTAGGGGGCTTCGCCAAGTGGCCAGACAGCCATCCAGGTAAGACGTTTATTTATTTATTTTTTAAACCCTTGTATGGTATTCGAGTCAAATTGACCCATTTAAAAAAAAAAAAGACTAACTAGGATGGAGCGTCCGCCTGAGGCTCTCACAGTGAAGGAAAGGTCGGTTTTTTATTCCTCCAACTTTATGTTCATGGCCAACACTGCCCTGGTATCTTGCACACCCAAAAAAAGGTGAAGAAATGTGGTGCACATCAGCACTTTTCACAGGGATGGAGCAATAGGTACCAGGGAGGACCCTGAGCCAGAGTTTATACTTGACTACATCGCCACCAAAGGATGGGTAGACAACCTAGACAAGCTGCTGTTCTGCTACAGCTGTGGCAGAAGAACATGACCTGTGATCTTTTACAACATGCTGGATGTCTTGGCCTATAATGTGATTACAAATCTGGATGGCAATCAACCCAGAGGAAGTTCCAAAAAAAGGCTTTTCCTCGAGAAGCTAGGCAAGCCACTAGTGACACTATATTTTTTCCTAGATAAGCATGATTTATCACACCCACGTCTTGAGTGTAGTGGATTTTGAACCCCTATTTTAACATCATGACAAAAAGACCCAAGGGATACCAGAGGGTCCCAAACGTGAATACCGTACAAGGGTTAAAGCCAATACAGTAAAGCAGGGCTGAAAGGCTGCCCTTAATTTTTCTGGAGGTTCAAAGATTTCCCGTTAAAGAGCAAAAGGTGGTGGATCCCAGTGGTTTCAGTTTATTTTTCCTCCCAGTTTCTGCCTGGCCCTTCACCGGGGCGGAGGTCAGGGTGGAGCTGCGGTTGCCGCTTTTACCTGAGATCAATGGAAAAGGCTCCCGTAACCCTAAACCCCAGTGGCGTGTTTGCCTGCGTGTGGGCGTGTGTTCCTGCAATGTGTAATTGATGAGGCGATTGTTCGCAGGTGGCCCGGGGACACAGGAGATCGAGCTCCTCACGTTACGACAAGGACACAGGGTGGAGGAAATTATGAGGGGAAAAAGCGTTCAAGGAGGAAAAAAGGGGTCATAGCAGAGCACACAGCAGTGGAGTTGTGTGTCAGGGATTGGTCTGAAAAGAGGAGAAGGGCCCATTAATGAGGGACAAAAGAAGGGAATGAGAATCAGTTAAACAGATCTGCAACTAATCCGGGGGAATGGGAAATGGCACATTTTGTCTCTGAGCTAGAAATGATGGATTTGGGAGTTTGAGGTCTCTGCGAGCTGAAAAAGTCCCGCTTCTTGTTTTTTTTCTCGCGGCGTGAAGGAGACCCTGAGCGAGCCAGTGGAAGGGCGAAGGGAAATGGTTACATGGTCCGTGTGCAAACTCTGATGACTGAAAAAGGAACTGTCGTCACGTCGGTCAAACGGTTCAGAAGTCGTTCTCAGCGTGGTCCAAGAGGAAGCAGAGCCACTGGTGGCTAAAGTGATCTGCTTGAATCAATTCAACTTATTGATTCTAGTTAGAAATATTAATGGCTTACATCCTCTAAACAAGCTCATTCCATTTCACAGAAATCCCTTTAAAAAAAAAAAAAAAAGTCTGATCAGAAACCCAAGTCATGATCATATAGAGGAAGATCAAAGCAGTACACAACTGGAAAATGTTAGTGTTTTACTAGGGCTTAAAATAATCACAGTTTAGGGAACCAATAGTGGATTATTCACAGCCATTGCTGTCGTGTCATCTGAAGGAGTATCATTTCAAGAAATATGTGGCCAGATGAGAATGTCTGTCCATTTGCTGATGAGACTTGTTTGACGTGTGGGGCAGCTGTTAAGAATAAAAAAAATTAGTCTTCATCTGTATGTTTCTCACTGTAAAGTTTCAAGGGAAGACTCAGAGGCCTATTTCCCCCATATCACACATGTTTTATGTGAAAGTGAGTCGAAAATGTCCTTATTCATCCGATAAGGACGGTCATCCGATCCCACTTCACACAGGAACATTTCCGCTCCGTAACCTTCCATTCGGATCCCGACTGATGCAGCTAATGCTGCTCTGATTGATTCTGACGTCCTTGTTCTATCATCTGTCATTTAATTATAATTCAATTACTGGACCATTTGCTGGCCCGAGCAGCTTTTACCCTGGTCCCCAGGGAGGAGAGCTGTCCCGGGCCAAACTGTGTGCATTATTCATCTGCACTTAAAGGTGCATTACAAGACAAAAAAAAACAAGCTCCAGCATCCTTGTGCATCCTGGGGGTTTCTAAGGAAAATTCTGTGATGGCGGTAGTGCTTCTGTTAGGGAAATCCGAAGAATCGGAGGCCTCTCACATGCAAGTGGTTCTGCTTTTGTATGCTACCATCTCTGACCAGGCTTCTCTTTTTTCCTTTTTCCCCCCCCCATTTCCTCTGCCAGACCCACTCCATGCCTACCTCGGGTTGTGCGGTTTGTCTCTGATCGGGGAGCCCGACCTGAGGAAAGTCCACCCAGCTCTTAACATCACCGAGCGAGCCTTCCAGCACCTCCAGCAGCTGCAGCAGACGTGGAGGGATACCTCTGGCGGACAGCACTGACCGAGGACAGGTCCAGTAATCAGGAACCGCTTCTATCTAACAGTCAAAGGCGACCGGACTTACGCTGTGTCTCAGTCCAATAGCTGTTTCTACGATCGACCTTACCAAGCGTCCGACTTCTGGGACTTGGTTTGAAGTCCGTTTAGAGAACAACTTTTCTGTCGAGCAATATAAGTACGCCACACCTCTTTGCTGCCTTTTGTTCAGTACATAGTTGTAAATAACAATGTGCAATGCGGTGTATGACAAAAACAATTCAGTGCCAGAGCATCAAATCTGAGTAACTAGAGACTTGAAATACGAAATACCAGATGCCTCCATGTCTAGATTATGGCCTTCTCTTAAGTTTGCTAATCATTGTATTCAACTCCTCAGCCAGTCAATACTGATCACCACTGCAGAGTTTCATCACATGGACAGTAGACACCCCCCCACACACACACACACACTCCCAACCCCCCACCCCACTCCCAACCACCCACTCTTCACTGGATCCCCTGGATGCTTAGCGAATGTTAACTGTAAACTCTTTTAAAACCTGGATCTTGCGTCCATAAAGGAGTATAAAACTTGGGTTTACTTACCTCCTACCTTTGACCACCATTATTTTCACCCCTCTTGACCTAGCTTTTATTCTTTGATCAAGACCTTTAAGTTTTGCAAGCAGTGCTGCTGGGATCTTCATCAGAAAAAGGTTTGGTTAATACCTTGAGGTGAGAATATTTGACACAGCTTTGTCATATCAGATGACAGAAAACATGTTGTTTTTTTTCCAAAACTTAAGGTTTAAAGAAAAATAAATGTAGGTCTTAGGGGCAGCTGTACAGGAGGGGAACCTAAACATGTCCCCACTTGCGTCTTTACTCCCTACAAGGTATTAGCCATCTGGAAACCGCTCGGGGAAAGATGAGACAATGGCTTCATAACCAGAGGAAATGTATCGATTGGTTATTTTCAGTACAGAGAGGATGCAGGGGAAAACAAAGAACAATGAATATGAATAAGTAGCAGCAAGTGTCAGGAAGCAGCTGTTACTCAACACGACACTCATCATGGATCTTTTAAATGTGAAAAACAACCACGACCTGAGGAATGTTTGGACACCTACCGCCACTGGACGTCTCATCATCCGGCTGATTGGGCCGTCTGCAGAGACGGCCAATCAAAGGGGCTTTCAGATAACAGACTCTCCTGACACTTCACTTGCAAAAACATTTTAAAAATAAGGTTTAGATCTAAACTTGTTGCGCACCTCTTGCCCTCAAACCCTTGTGCAGCCGCACTTTTTACTATAGAAGCTATTTGAAACCCAGAATCCATCCTGCCCAAGGCCACTTTTTTTTTTTCAGACCCAGCAGTAAGCTCAGACAAGAAGAAAAAAGGAGAGCAGTTGGGGGAAGAGGTGAATAAATAAATCATTTGAGCCATATATTATTAAAAGTAAACTGTCGGAGTCTGGGTTCTCCTCTCTGAATCCTTTGTGCTGCATAGGCTTGCAAAGACAGTTGTTGTCTTTCTTCATTCATTTACATTTTTTGGTTATTGTCTGCTTCAAAGCAATGGGTCTCACTTTAGTTTTCTTTGGTAAATTGTTGTTTTAGACGAAGGAAGGTTTACATATTACCAAAATGCAATTTTAATCTACATTTTCCATATTTCTGTTGCTTGATTCTGTTTACAAGAATTAGTAATTACATTTACAATTAAAAAAAAAATAAAAATTTTTTTTTGTCAATTTAATCGGGCAAAACCTAAAATTCTTGGTTGTCCGAAGTTGAAAATGCCCAGAAAGATGGCTGCTTCCACTGCTGAGGCCAAATTACAGGGAATGATCTCCTCTGACATCCATCTCCTGATGGGATTCTCTTTTCTAGAAAAGCTCCCCTCCGTGGACTAAGTCCCATTGCGAAACCACTCCCCCCAACTTGCGTCTGTAATGTGCCTCGTGTAGCGTCGCTCTGAGTCCCTGCCTCCAGTGCTTCTGCTCCTCTGATTCGCCCGCATGTATAGAGTGCTTCTAATTGGATTAAGCTAACATAATTTTTTTTTTCTATAAAGGCAATGAACAACACTGTGAAGGGAGTGATGGAAACATAGATCCTAAAGGCATATTTTATCTGTTCTCCTCCCCTCCCCCGATTTGTTGATTTTAAAGCAAAAGGTCAGCTTTCGGAGTCATCTGATTCGATTTGCATGTCATCGATATTTGAAAGAAACTGATAGAAAAAACCACGGATTGCTTCTGATTTAGAAAAGGACTGATGGATCTGCCACTCCTCCTGGAATAAAGCTGCATCTCGGCAGCTGTATTCCTTTTTTCTTCGCCACTTCCTCACTGCTGCTGATGCCCTCAGCCTCACGGGACGAAAAGAAGGGAGCCCTGCTCCACGCAGCCCCCAAATGCCATAAGCGGTCAAGCCCCAAGGCTTGCTCTGTAGTCAAACTTTCTGCTATACATAATGTAAGGATCAACGATGTAACGATACCTGTGACGGATTTTATTTTTTTCTATGCTTTGTAGGAAGTGTAGATAGGTGTAAATGTCTATAAATATGTGACCTCTATCGTGGAAGTGCTCAAGAAGCGAAGACGTTTACATGGATGAGAGGGGCCCAGCAGGTCGCAGTATGTGATGTGTTGTAGTGTTTCAGCTTTGAATTCGGACGCGACATTGATTTTAACTTGGTGCGCAAACTGTATTTATGGTAAATAAAACATTAACTAACTTTTCCAATTGTTTTGGACTTTGTCGATTTTTTGTTTGTGCGCATTGTGCATTTTTCTCACGACTTTGCATCGCAAAGATTATTCAGCCGCAAGTCAAGTCTTTTAAGAATGCTGTCCAAAAACTTTTATGTATCTATTTTTTTTACCCTATTTTAAATGAGTCCTAATCAGCGTCTGTTTGACCTCACGGTGAAAGGTGAACCAGGGTAACTCAGAGGAGTACAGGGGGTGTGAACTCATGACCGGTTGCGGGTTATGGAGTGTTCTGCTTGACTTTTACGATGTAAAGAAGTAGGCGGGATCATCTGTATGTAATGAGGGGGAGGAACCTGACTGATTGCAGCAATCTGACCATAAACTGGCGGGTGTGCGCCCATCGATCATGATCACCACAGATGGAGGACAGGCATGTTCCTGCCCCATTAAAAACACGATTCATCCTGTAGTTAGTTTCCCAAACGGTGTGTTCTCTTTTCAGGAGAAGGCCCACTTTAGACAGGACGGTGTCAAAGTAAAATAGGACGGTGCATCATAGGGGGCCAGCGATTCGCTTGCATTTTGGGTTCTTGTTCAAAGTCATGTGAGAGCTGCCTTACAGAATGCAAGCGGTGGCATTCCATTTGGTTTGGAATTTGAAAAATACCCCAAATCTCAGAATCAAACGGGTAGTTTCCTGTATGTTGAGCACAGCCCTGTGGGAAGGTGCCGCGCTGACAGATTTTCTGTGAGCGCACAAAAATCCAAAACGATCCCACTTTCCTTTCCTGTGCCGTTTTTCTGTGGGCCCTTAAGCCCAACACAAGCCCTCAGTCAAAAGTCTACGCAGGTAGATTTTTCTTTCAAGTGATTTTGAATAAATAACCATCAACCGAGTTAGATTCAGCCTGTAATGTAAAATATGCTTTCCTTTTTCTTTTGGGGGGAGAACAGAGCTAATCCTGACATAACTCATTTGGTAACTAAATATATCGGCTCCCCACAACAGCTGAGTTTCCTTAAATGAAAGCTGGAATTTCCTTCCACAGCAGGCTCAACTGTGTTTTCTCTATTTTTAAATGCTGTGATGACAACTGTGAAGCTTTTTCCTCATTGGAACCGGTTGCCTGTGATCTTCGTGCGGCACGGACGGATAATGCTCTCGATGAGTTTTCCCGTTACTAGGTCAGTGAGTAAGGCCTAATTAAAAGCTGTGGAGGAGGGGAGATCCCGCTGGATGGAGTTCACACTTGGCAGCGCACACACAGGTTACAATATTTGCCCCACTTGGGAGCCGAACACACACTGACTGCTCTGCTGGCACTGATGAATGTGGCTCGGCAGATGTCCAGTCTGGATTTAGAGGTGGGAAAAAAAAACTTCAGCAGCCTGAAATCTCAAATATGTATGTTGATAGTCATTATTTTGTCTTTCTTACATTACATCGGTGTCCAGGTTAAGGTGCTTTGTACGGCCAGCTAGAACAGAAAAGCACCTTATAATCCCAACCCATGCTCTCCCCACATGGAGTTAGAACAGCAGATGCCTTCCACCTTTTTCTCCCCCGTGACGTACGGCTCGCATACAAGAGATGTGAAGTAAAGCTGTAAATATGCCGCTAATGACTATCCCAATCTAGTTTGGGAACATTTGAGGCCTCTGGTGTTTCGCAGCAATTTAAAATGTTTAAACAAACAAGCAAACAAACCAAACAGGAAAACTCAACCACGATGACGTCATTTCCCTCAGGTGTTTGATTGTCAAACAGATGTGAGGCCACGGAACAGAACACTTTGCTTTCTTTCTCAGATACGTCGATTCTTCTTCCCTGAAGCTGTTTTTACCAAGCAAGATTAGAAATTAAGTTAATGGACTGCTTTGCATGAAGTGCTGAGATGGATGCAGTTAAAAACCCGCCTGTACCGCACAAATAAGTGGTCCAAGCAGTGAAACTCCCCACTCAGTGTATTATATTGATTTCTCAGTTAGGCAGAGGACTCTGTGGTTCATGTGGCATTTTTATGGGGCATTCAAGTGTCCCCTCCACAGACGTTAAACATGAAGCACTGGCCCTGAGAAGCAGCTTGATGAACTGCTGTGAGACGTGGAGCAGATGTTAATGACTCCTGGACTACAGGGTCATCTTTTGACTTTTTCATTAGAAGGACGGACCCCAGTACGGAGGAGACACTGCCCCATGCAGAAGGACGTCTTTAACACTCACCTGTTGGCATTACATTTTCCTGATCGGCGGGTTCAAACCTTTAGTACACCTTTGCTCATAAATAAATGTCACAGGCCGCAGCTCCATAAGTGTTCAGTAAAACAATCACACTCATTGATAATATATATTCAGCATTTAAGACAGAAATACAAAATACAAAAAATGTATTTTTGGATTTAAAAAGAAAAGTCAGCCTCTCAGATCTGGTGGTTGGCTTTAGTGGCATTTTAATTACAGTCTCTCAACAAAAAATGTCAATCATTCATATCATTAAATGTATAACATTACTCAGATTATGTCAGTTAATGGGGATGCATATATATACACACATTGTTTTTTTTGTTTGATGTAACTGTTTAGGGGTTTTGATTCCCATTAATTTGGCCCCATTTGCTGTGGGAAGGCGTTTGCACCCCGTCACTCAACGGGGTGCTCGGAATACGTCCGCGTGACGCCGTGAGGCCATCTGCCGAGGCGGAACACGTAGTATTGCCAGAAAAATTAAAAATGCGAACTCGGTTCGACCTCTCATTCCAGCTTTTGCCAGGCAACCCAATCAAACCGCTTGACTGACTCCCATCCTTGAATCAACAGGCAGCCCTTCCCAACATAGTAGAGGGAAACTGTTTGAATCTTATTAGTAAAATCTTGTATACGTGCATTCAAATCAAATATCTTATAGAAAAAAATAGCTACATAATGTAAACCAGGACTCATAATTGGGCCTTATTGTCGATTATTTTGGGCACTGTGCCAACAGTGCGTAAAAATCAAACAAAGATGGACAGCGACAATTTTGGGCACAAAGAGAACATATTTGTAGTGTCTGGTTAAAAAAAGGGTGGAAAAAGGGGGGGGGCACTCCCTCATGGCTGATAGGTGGCAGATCGGCTGGATACAGAGAGCTCTGTGGGTAGAGACGTCGCCGTTGAGGGATGATGCGGGAGGAGAAGGAGTGAGATGGTACAGTGGCAACGAGGGCGGGGTTTTGCCTCCAAGATGAAGGCAGGTCGCACAGAAAAGCAGCCGGCGCATGTACTGTAGATTTCTCTCTCCTCCTGATCAACACAGTTGACGCGAGACGGAGGGAGGAGACAGGGGCTGGTGATGGGGATGAGCTCCGGAGAGCAGCGCCTTACTCTCGATGCCAACTCATCTTCCCTGTGAAGCTGCAGTTCCTCTTTGCGCAGGCGGTTCATGTCCCCGGCGTTTTCCCACCGCCATTTAAAGCCCCCGTGCGCTCTGACTGCAGGGTCCGTCTGCCGTGCGCGCATCGCCCACCCGTAGCCATGTCAGACTCTGAGGATATGACGGAGTTCGCCAGCATCGTGGAGCGGATCGAGCGGGGCGAGGTGAGTGTCACCCGGATGATTTACGGGCTCTCTGACAGGAGCCTCGTGCCTGTCAGCGTGCGCCCTGGCCGCCGGGGCGATCGGTCCATTCTGTTCCGTTCCACGCTATATGCCAACATTCTCTGTGCTGATTCGATCTAACCTATTTCTACTGAACTGAGCAAACACAGACGGTGCACATCAGCCTTGTACTGTGTGCACCTGGAGCTGTGTGTTTAGACAGGGCGCCTACCTTTCTATGTTTAAAGCATTATGGAAGGTTTGACGCACACATGACGTGTGTCAGTCTCAAGCTACATAAAAAGCTATCTATTTAATCTGTGGTTTAATTCGCATCTTAATTGGGTGTGTTTCAAGTTCTTGCTGCAGGACGATCTCACACTTCATTCAATATGTAGGCCACTTGGAAGCAGCCGTGCCCTAAGAACAGAGTGTCACATGCATGTGTGAGAGAGGGACGCTGCTCAGGAGGGGGAGAGGGGGAGAACTTCTGGTTAAACTAGTGTGTTTGTATGTTCCCTGCATGTAAAATATCTTACATTCACTAATGGACATGGTGTTGAGCTATTGGTGTTTAAAAAAAAAAGCCAGACAAAAAAACTGAGCAGTTGATTGAATTTATTGCAGCCACAGTTTATGAAATTCAATTCAATTAAAAAATAATTTATATATCCCAGAGGGAAATTAAATGTCGATGTAACTCATTTAGCTTAGGAGTTGTTATAGATGATATTATTATCATAGATCTGTTATAATAGATGGAAGCATTCAGGGTGAGATGATTATTTCCATGCCGTGCCACAAAGCGGTCCACCGGCTCTCAGTACTCAGCTTCTTGTCCAGCTCTGATACAGCCCACAACTGCAAAGTCATCCGAGTGTTTCAGTAGACGACGGGGGCCCGACTTGTGCTGGAAGCCTGAAGTGTACAGAGTGAGTAGGGGTGGTGTGAGTGCAGTCCCCGGTGCTGCTGCTGTGCTGCTAACCACCTGCTTAGATACACAATCCTTCAGTTTCACAAACTGTGTTCTATCAAGTAGTCATCGATCCAGGGAATGCTGAGGCCTCCACCTGTGTCTTCTGGAGTTTCACACGAAGCAGATGAGGCTGAATTGTGTTAACTGCACTGGAAAAATGAAAGAACGTGATCTCACAGAGCTGTCTGCTTTGTTCAGATGACAGTGGGTCTGTTGAATGAGCTGTATGAAGGTATATGGGTCACATCGGATCCCATCGGGACGCCCCAAACAGGAGCGGCTTTACTCACCTGTCGCTTCATTCTTAATGGGTTGAAATTTGATCAGGCCTATCTTGCACAATGGACACTTGGGTCACCTAGGAGTTCAGTTTTTTATTTTTTTAACAAGAGATTAATACACATCATTGAGTACATTCGGTTGCACGTTTGTAAAACTGCCACTCCATATAATGTTTTAAATAGTAATCAAAAAGCATTTAGTTTCTACCAAAAATTCACATAAAACATTTTTTCCAGTTCAAATGTGAAAATCAAGTGCTGACAGTTTCAAACAGAAAATATTTTTGCTCTTATTGGTGGGGTCTTTTTTATGTGATCTTTAGATATCTTCAAGAAGAAGACAAATACAAAAGGACAGGTGAACAGAACTTCAGAAGTCCTGAAATATATAGGGGGGACCCAATAACTGAAACAGTGCCTCGTCGATTATTTTTTCCTTCATTTTACATTCAGTTGGTCAATCTACTGTTCACGGAAGCCTCATCCAATAAAGAAATATACCTAATGCCACCAAAAAGTGGGCTGAAAATCCATGAATTCAGGTGTTATGGAACCAATCCTCCCAGAGCCCATACGTCTATGGAGCAGTGTGGGACGATATTAACAGGGATGGACAGAAAAAGGAAGCCAACATCCAAATAAAGGCTTTGGACTGTTTCCCGGAGGACCATACCTGAAGAATACCTACATAAACGACAAGAAAAGTTTGCGAAAAAGGACTCCGTTGTTGGTCCTTGTGTGTCTCTTTGTGGTCCAGGGTGCCCCCCCCCTCCCCCCCATTGACTACTGGGTTATGCTCCAGCCCCCCCCCCCCACACCCCCGCAACCCCAATAGGGAATAAGTGGTTACGATAATGGATGGATGGACTAAGATTCCATCACAGACTATAGACAGTCCCATCAAATCTTGACATATAAGAACTCTGTTGTGACCTCTGAGGGTGGCCATTTGCTGACAAATGTTCCACTATATTCCTTAAAATGTGCCTCAGTTTGTCCCCCCCCCCCTCCCCCCCCCGCCAAACTTTTTTTGGAAAAGGGGGCCAGGGCTGAAAAGTCCCCCCCACCCCGGTGTCCCCAAAATGTCTTTAAAGGAAGCAGCAGTTTACGTGGAGCCCTGAAGGCAGCAGTCCCCGGCGGATCCCCCCTCCCCTCCCCCCCCCCCCCCCCCTCCAGCCCGTCTGCGGACTGGCTGCTGACTCACGGCGGACCGCCGCTCGGCGCTGCGTCACGCTATTTAAATCGACGCTGCCGTGCGCCGCGCGTCTTGTGCTCGCGCCCGACAAACTTCAGCGAACGCTCAACACGGTGGTTTTTTTGTTGTTGTTGGGGGGTGGGCTTTTTAAAAATTGTCGCGAACCCGGGCTGAGTGTTTCCTCCCCACATCATGACTGCGGAGATGGTGCGGCGCAACAGCATGATGGCGGTAAGCGGTGGAAGTGGTGCCGGGAGGGGGACCCGTTCGGAGGGGACCCGTTCGGAGGGGACCCGTCCGGATGGGCTCCCCATTGTTGACCAGCCCCTGCGGCCGCTCCGCAGGGGGAGCAGAACGCCCAGTTAAAAGTTGTCCATTGATAGCCGACTCGCGACTTTGTTGCTTCTTTCTGTCTCTTTTCTGCTTCCTTTATATCCTGAGCTACGTTGTCTCGTTTAACGCGCGTGGAGACGTCGGAGTTTGTGTTTGTTCAGTGTGCCGGCGGAGGATCGATTGTGTTGTTTTTGTCTCACCACCTGATACTAATGAACAATCAGCAGCACTCAGTGGGAGCGGGGCAGTTGGTCTTATGGGGGGGAAGTGTTTTTCTTTTGGTTAGTTTAGTGTTGAAATGGGAACTAATGGAGACGTATCTTACAGTTTTTCTATATTTAGTCGGGGTTAATCCTTTCTTACGTAATTCAGTCGGATATATTGCTGGGATTCGCTGTTCTTATGACTGTATTAGTGTTTTTTTTTTCAAATTAGAAATTGGTGCTAGGCTTTGGAAGGGTTAAGGTTAGTTTTAGAAACATTTATTTGCCACCTTAAACCCCGACTTTTCCCACCTCACTGACTCAGCAAAAGTGATTTTCATGCTGCTCAAATAGCAGACGAGTCTTATTTTACCCCCTGTGTTGTGTAGTCATGTCTTCCTGTGAACCAAAGAAAGCTGCGCCCTTGCCTCCAGCTCGATTCAGACTAGTCTGTGATGCTATTTCTGTCCCTGCTTGCCACTTTTCTCCCTTTTTTTTATTAATTTAATTATCTCCTGCCAAAGAATGACAGTTGTGGTGGTGCTAAACGTTTAGATGGTAATCCTTTATGGAGACATTTGTTTGTGTCTCATGATGGCAACATTTCAGTGACCACATCTGTCCTCAGGTTCCCATCAAGAACATCGAGAGGGAGCTGATCTGCCCCATCTGCAAGGAGCTCTTCACCCACCCGCTGATCCTCCCCTGCCAGCACAGCGTCTGTCACAAGTGTGTCAGGGAGCTGCTGATGCTGAACCATGAGGACTCCTTCGACGCCGGGTCCGAGTGCTCCCTGCCCGGCAGCCCCCGGTCCAGGGTGCCCTCCCCTTCCATGGAAAGGCTGGACAGGCTTGTGAGATCAGGTGGGTCTCGGGGTAAGGAACCTAAATACGTTTACTTTTTTATTGTAGACAAAGGTCTTCTTTAAGAGATGGATTTTTCCGTGGACCCGTTGAGGGAATTTGAGGTGTGTGTGCGTGTATTTGGAGTAGTGGTGTGAGCTGTTTTTGAAATTCTGTGGACCAGCCCGACTTGTGAAAGACGCCAACTGATGGAGGCTTTTGGTAAATTCACAAATGTTTGCACTGAGTCTATTTTAAAACCGTATTTTATGGTGGCCATGGAATACAATGTGTTTTGCATCTATCAGCGACTCCAACTTCCTGTTGCGTGATCTTCCTCTTAGTCCCTACAGCTAAGCAGACAATGCATGTGACTTCAACTTTTAGTTAATTCAAGTTGGCTGCATTCGGCAGGTTTTAGTGGCTGAGAACTAACGCACAGAATCCCAAAAAGAAAGTGTAACGACACTGAAGAGTATTTCATAAGCTACTAAGCAAAGCTTTAGCCAATGCAAATGAATGAGTTTGAGTGAATAGAGTCATCATGGAAGAAAATGGGCCAAGTATTGTGTGCATGTGGGCTTCAGCCCCTCCTCCCTTTCTTGTCCTAGATAAACCTAAACAAACATAAGTCTGAGTGTAATAATTTTATCAGCCAGCCGTAGAATTCGGTCAGCAATTCTTGTAATCCTCAAATTAGAGCGCAAAGGAACTTGATGAGCTGTGGTTTTTCAGCCAAAATAAGGGGAAAAAAACCTGTTGACATGATCTCTCAGAGCATGACTGTCTTTACTGTCTACTTTTAATGTCCCTGTAGCATCAAATACCATCTTTTAATTGTGCAGATGCAACAAAAAAGAAGAAAAGTTTAAGGAACAGAGGAGTACATATCAGTTTAATTCCACCTTTAATCCGGTTTACAGCACTGTGTACACACAACCTGAACCCTGCACATCTGTAAGCTCCTTTTTATGCATTTTAAACGCTTAACACCAATCTGGCCTCCAGGGATAATGGTGGGGCCCAGATATCTAGATTAACTTATCACAATGTTGTTAAAGTTTTCAGCTGAACTCGAGGCCCTGCTGCTGCCAGGCTTGGACAGGCCAATGTCTAAGCCTTGAAAACGGCCTGATGGGGACACAAGGTGGCCTTTCTCCCTCCTGAAAACTCTGGGCCACAGGCCATCTCTGAAGAGTCTTATTTGCACTCTTAAAGAGCTTGCTGCCAAATGGCAAAGGAGATGGAGAAATTCTCTTGGTGGAGAAACTAAAATGTAATCAAGAAAGTGCTTTTTAACACTCTGTTGCAATTGGCCAATTTTATTTATTATTATTATATATCATTTTTGGATAAAGTCTTCATTAAACCAATAACATGGGCAATTTCAAGCAGCATCATGGTTGGATCATTTTAAATGATTTACTTTTACTTTTGATGTGCACTAATCCATGAAAAATAACCTTAGATGCTTGCAGCTAAATGTTTGGTGTAATTTCCAAATTACTTGCCAAAGTAAGATAAGATTTGGGCTTTGCCTGTATTCATTAAGCTAAGATGCCACATCACCTCAAAACAGCACAGAGAATATACTCTAGTGAGCTGGAGCAGCAAAAGTTCCTAGAGTGCTCTAAGGTTAACAGCTTTTTGGGAGCTACTCTGGCTCTGTTCAAAACCCCTGAGTCTGGGCTCACAAACGCAGCCACCCCCCATTCAGAGTGAACTGCCTCAGCCTGAATGAGCTCATTCTTCCCCAAACAGGACTGCATCTGTGGACCAGGAAATAATCAAATCCTGCTTTTGAGTAAACAAATGTCACATCGTATTTTACAGCTGTCATTGTATCGGTCATTTCTATTTCACCTGTTATCCAGGTTAGTTTGTGTTGAAAGTATATTCAGTCAAATTCAATCTGGAGAATGGCCTTTTCAAGGATTTGTGAATTTCTTATGGGATTAGTTGGTATTTAAGTGCATTTAATCTGTTGAGTATGAATCACAAAATTCACGTGTTAAGAATTTTCAAGAGGTCCTTGCTGGATTATTAGCGGTACCCCTTTAATAGAGAGAACCTGTATTCCCTGACCTCCTTCTCCATGGGGAGATCAGGTCTCTTGTATCCATAGTGACGCATGTTTCCTGTAAGGAATGAATGAGGGATTAGATAAAGGAAGAGAAAGAAAAGACTTAAGGCTATATTTATCGTCCTGAAGCTTGGACGGGCTTTGCTGTGCTGAGAACGGTTGCTACTGCAAGCTGATCTGCTTTTTGTTACGGTCATGCCAGTGGGATTGCTGTTCAGCAGCAACTCTGCAATATTAAACATTGCTGGAATTCTCAGAATGCCTAAAGTAGGCTTCTTTTGTTGTGGCTGAAGATTGATTCCTTGCAACAGGAACAACTAAAGATTCCACTTAATCACATGAAGCCTTCTGAAGTCATAAAGTTAATGTGAAAAATAATCAGGCCATCCTGAATTTTATTCTCCACAGAAGTTAAAGCTCAACGATTAAAGACTGAAGCATAAGACATGAATTGCTGTATTTCCTGCTGGGAGGTCTCACTTTGAAATATACATGTGCAATAATATGTTGTTTTGTTGTTGGTAAAGAAGAAAATGTAACATCTCATTTAAATGGAAACTTTTATACTGGACACAGGATATGCAGGAATGTGCATTGAAGTTTGTTGAGACTGGTGGTGTGCCCAATATAAGTCTGAAAGGCATGTGCCCATGGGCATATATCCTGCAGAAAAGCTGAACCAGTCCCACAGCAAAGAGTATATAAAGTCCCATGAATGCAGACCACGTGCAAACTGGAAGAATCACAAGTTAATTGTATTTTCTCACTTGTTCATACCATGAAATGTATTTTTTTCCCATTTCTTTTTATTCACAAATGTTTTATAATCACTTATGTTGAGTTTCCTTATTTTAAAGATTGCTTTCTTTCTGCATTTCTAGTGGAGATGAGTGGATCCACACACCCCTTCACATTATGTCTGTTTTCATGTTGGTCTCACCTCACCTCTCTGTCCATTGCTTGCAGCCACACTGCGAAGGTCGTTTGGAAGTCGAGGTAGACGGGGGCTCCGTGTTTTGAGTAGCTGTAGTAGTGAGTACAGTGTTATTACAGAACCCCTGTGAAACCCTAGTTTGGTTTGACCTTTTCTTTACCTAGTCTCCTCAAGACCCCTTCACACAAGCATACAGGCTCACTATACATTTATCTTATTTACTTAAGAAGAAAAACCTGATGGAGTTTGGAATGTACTTCGATGGGTACTGACTGCTTAAAGCAGACTTCTTTAAAAGCATCCACTAAGTTCAAGTGCTACTGCATATGGAGGATGTCGGGTCCAAAATGGGAAGCTCGGGGAGCTCTAAAAAGATATTGAAAGATTTGAGACCAATGGGTGTGGAAGTTTCCAGGGAGTTGAAATGAGACAGGAATGTGTGTGTGTGTGTATTCATTAGCTAAGCTTTATGTTTGACCTGTAAATTACTGTGATACCTGAAGCAGTTCGAGTGAGGCAGGAACTGTAAGACTGCGTTGTTTCCCAACTAAACAGAAGGGCATGAAGGGAAAAGAAGCAACACTATGTTTGGGCTCGCCCTTGTCCTTAATTGTCGTTCGGGCTGAAACGTGTTTGCCTGAAGGGTATTCTTTACGCTTCGCCTGATAATCATCAGTATTTGAGAAACCGCTGAAAGGCACAGTCTTGTTTAAGCCTACCTCTAATTATTTTGTACATGATGATTTAGGAGAGATCAGACCAGCCATGTCAAACCTGACGAGACTGGAAATCTGAGCTCTCTGCAGCCTTTGATCACTTACCTGACATTGAACTCAGTGGATGTTATTTAAGGAGGCACGTTTGAATAATTTTCAAAGTACAACATTTTCCTCCTCGAATCAAAAAGATTTCATCAAAATGTATTTAGAACCAAATGAAAGCAAGAGAGTGCAAATTTGTCTTTTGAAAAACAAAACCCGCATATAATGTTTTTATTTACAAGAATTCAGGGTAAGAGATACTTTATTAATCCTGAGGGCAATTCAAATTGAGCGACCCGACCCCGGATAAGCGGAGGACAATGGATGGATGGAAAACTTTTTCTGGATGCTAAACAAAATAGTCTCAATTATTTATTAATTTTTTCTACTACATTTTACATAAGTAACTGATCAAATGTTTAATAAGACTGTAGTGAACCTGTTCAAATATTAAAGCGAACTTTATGATGTATAGTTGTAAGAAGAAAATGAATTCACAATGACTTACCAGTTTCAGCCCACCCTTTCTTGGAGTGTGTGTGTCTGTGTGTGTGTGCACAAATGCTCATGCACACACAGTCCTGCTGGTTTTTCCTGTGTGTGGTCACTCACACCTTCAGCCTGGAGCAGAGAGCCTGACCCGGTGTGCAGTGCGTTTACAACTCGGGAAGAAAGTTGTGCATGCTGCATAGAAAATTACATTAAACTTCATTCGCTGGATGAGGCTTGTTTTCTGTCCCACATCTCCATTCACCCAGTAACTTGTCCAAAAACAAACCAAAAATCACCCATATTCATACGTTTTTTAATTTTTCAAAATTGTATTTTTTTTTTTTTTAAACATCACGGTACAAAGCTGAGCTAACCTGTGAGGGATCATTTGTGGCAAAAAATGGGTAATCAGTTTGTTCAATTATAGACAGCTTAACACCATGTATCAAACCATCCCTGCACCTTTTCAAAGTCCAGTCTTCCTCGTTTTACACGTCTACACATCACGCAATTTTGTTTTTGCTCTTGTACCACTGCTTTGCCCTGAGCTGCTCTTACCTGAGGAGTGTTTGATTTAATTTTCAGGTCCTCGGAAACGGAGTGGAAATACTGGCTTTCAAACTGAGATAAATCCAGCACTCCTCTCTTCCCCTGTCCCCCAAAAACGTGAAGCAAATTACATTTTTATTTAAATTTTTGTTTTTTTATGGAATTGCTTTTGTTTTGCTGGCTTTGTGTGGTAAAGGTGTCTTACTGACCTTGCTTGCATCTGTACCGTGTTAGCTGTGTTCCCCTCCCTCGTCGGTGTGTTGCTGCCTTGTTATGATGCTGCTGCATCAGTAACAAGATCAGTTTTGTGACAATCTCTTGAAAACTGTGATTCAAGAGATTTATTTTGGATGAAAAGTGTTAATGCACTGAACTGGACACTTAAGTTAGTTTGCTTGGATTTTTCTATTTAAATCTTTTTGCTTAATTTCTTTTGTATGTCAGTTGCGTTACATCAGTTAAATATGCTACGTTGTCTTTAAAAATGCTATGTTCTCAGTCACTCATTTCAGGTTAAAGAAGTTTGCTCTGTCCAGATCACTGTTTGCACTTCCATTGGCTCTAATGTCTGTGGTAAACGTTGTACGAGTTGGATTTCCTAAAACCATATTCTCCAAAAGCTCCAAGGATGCTATTTTCCATGACTTCCCTGCATCTCGTCACTTCTCATTACCAACCCAGTACTCTTGGGTCGTTCTCCTCCTGATTGTTTTTTTTAACCCCTGAATGACAACTGCTCTATTCATTGCCTGTTTTTGGTGTTTTGCTCCCCACACCCACGCTTTTTCTGAGTAGTTGTCATTGTGGGGGGAAAAAAGCACGAAGGAAACATGCTTAGGCTCTATTTGTGTAGACTGTTCTCAAAAGCGCTTTTGCGATAAGATCATACTTGGCAATTCAGAGATAATGATGTCACTTTGCCCAAAATCTGAAAATAAACAGGCTTTAGGAAAAAAAAAAAGTGTAAAGTATTTTCATATTCAAATAGAGCCACAGATTAGGCTTAAAGATGGATGGCCTAGCTAGCCCATGTTTTTGTTTTCCCTCCACACTCACACAGTTTTGGTCTCCTCCAGGCTCCATCTCTTCCCCGGGCTGGCGCAGAGGCTCCGTCACCCCTCGAGTCACCACCATCCCCTGCCCGGGCTGCCAGCATGACATCGACCTGGGCGAGCGAGGCATCAGCATGCTGTTTCGGAACTTCACCCTGGAGAACATCGTGGAGCGCTACCGGCAGGCCGCCCGCGCTGCCATTGCCATCATGTGCAACATCTGTAAACCTCCCCAGCAGCAGGAGGCCACGAAGAGCTGCATGGACTGCAAGGCTAGCTACTGTAACGAGTGCTTCAAGCTGCACCACCCCTGGGGAACGCCCAAGGCCCAGCACGAGTATGTTGGCCCCACCACAAACTTTAGGCCCAAGGTAAGGAGGTTTACCAGCCCTGCTTTTTTTGTTTTGTGTTTCTTTTAAATATCTTTTTTTAAATGGGCATCTTTTCACAATGCCAAGACAGCAAATGTTTTTTGTTTTTCCCCATATTGTGCAGCTTCTGCCAATTAGGCAGTTCAATGCATAACTAGATAGTAAAACTCCTGTTTTATTATTATTTTTTAAATATTCAAGCTGATTTAACCTTTACTTCAACACATGAGGAAACGATTCACAGAGCTGTCTGCAGCCTTTTAAAGTTCAGATCTGCTTCCTGTTTTCAGTTCAGCTAGTCATGGGTCTCTGTGTTAACATAACACTTAATGTACAGTAAGTGCACTGTGGGACACTGCAGCTCGGTCAATACTGTGGATAATGTAGCTTATGTACATAACTTGTACTCAAGACAAATTTCCTCCTTGGTCGACAATAATGTCTGTGTGATCCTAAATATTCCAGGTGCTCATGTGTCCTGAGCATGAGATGGAGAAGGTGAATATGTACTGCGAGGTCTGCAGGCGACCAGTCTGCCACTTGTGCAAGTTGGGAGGGTCCCATGCCAACCACAAAGTGACGTCTATGAGCAGTGCCTACAAGATCCTCAAGGTAGTTTTATAACTAAAAGACAGGTTGGCTACTTTTGAGAACCTCAGCTGAAGACACTCCATATAGTTTTAACTGAGAAGTCTGATTAATGGGAATACAACCCAACAATGCTTTAAGATGACAAGAGTCAATCTGTATCTGCACACAGTACCACTGTTTACAGGGGCCTGATGTCGTTGGTCAAGAAATCATTCTTGTGACTTTGGAATTGTTGATGGCCTAAACTCGGATTTCTAAAATTATTTCTGCTTTTTTTTTTAAATCTTTTTTTTTCTTGAATTAATTTGAAGAGGTCTCTAAAATGTAATATCTTAACGTCTGACCAAATCAATCCTAATGGAGGTGGTTCAGCAAGTTGAAGGACAATTTGTGAAATTTGGTACACTTGTTTGTGTCCAAAACAACGTGGCGATGAATATTTAAAGAGGCCGTTTGTTCACCATCGACATGTCTGCATTGTATCATCAAATTTGCGGACGTCGTATCGGATATCCTGAGCCGTCCTGGAAACCTCTGTCTGCCAGGAAATGGTTTGGGTTTCAGTTGCTGTGAACACTAATGCACTGTCACACGCCCAGAAGTTTCATTAAGTCAAGAAGTACTTACAGCTGCAGTTCTGAATGTTACAAGGGAAAATTATTGATCAGATCGCCATAAGAAAAGATATTTCTGAATAAGAAATTGTCCTTCATTTCTTAAATTTGCTAATGAACCTTTTTCATATACAACGTTCAGGGCAGTTGTCCCTTGATGGTGCTGTGTGTGTCTAAACTTTGAGCTTGTCAGAATCTCGCTGTTCATGCTGCTGATCCTCTCATTCTAAAGGAGAAGCTGGCAAAGAGTATCCATTACCTCATCAGCAAAGAGGACCAGGTCAGGACTCAGATTACTGAGCTGGAGCTGCTCATCAGTCAGACTGAGGTGAGAGCGCTGACTCATGCTGCTGCAAGGCCAGCATCCACCCAAGGTTTTTCTTTTTATCCCAGAGGATATTTGCATTCCCTTATTCAGTTTTTTTATTTAATTTATTTTCCAAAACAAATCTTGAAATCTTTTAAAAATATATGTTCAGTTGGACCTTCCTACTACAGTTTCTCGACCATTTTAGGTGTAGTGACACATCAGTAGATCTTTATCCTTTTTGGTGAAGTTGAAATGTTCCAGAATTGTACAATTTGAATTGTAAATTTTCTGGCTCTAATGCTGCCCACATAAGAGTTTTATTTTTTCCCCTGTAGGTTCTCTTTTTAAGAATCTACTTGTGTGAATGGGTTTTGCCTAACCAGTCTGAGCACAGAGACACACTGTGTATCGACTGGGAAGGTCACTAAACAAACTGTATGCAAACTACACAAACAAAGAATCCCTGGGATTTGGCCAAGTTCTCACATGTCTGTTTTAGTGTCAAAACTTGTTCCTCTTTTTATTTTTATGTTGGACCTTTTTAATGAGTGTTTAGTGCTCACATGGACCAATTTGGGAGCATTTTAGGCAGTCTTTAGTTTTGTGAATAAGAATCCTTTCCCCTGTGCATGAATTGTAAAGCCTAATGCATCTTCCTCCTGTGAGTATGACCTACAGATGGTATAAACTCTGTGCAGTGTCTGTATTTTAGATCGAGGCTGAAATTTAGCGAAGGTATCACATTTTTTTAAAATGAAAGTGGTGTTCCTTTTTAATTCCCAATGACCACATGGCTAACTTGAAATCTTGCTGACTCATAGATGGAAATACAGTCAGGGACAGAACATTTTAACCCTAAATTTAACGCACAAAAAATCTTGTCTTAAAGGAAAATGGACAGCTGGCAGAACGCCGAGCCAATGAGCACTTTGAGCGTCTGTTTGAAACTCTAAAGGAAAGAAAATCGGAAATGCTGAGATCCATCGAGCAGTCCCGTAACAGACGCATGGACCAACTGAAAGGCCAGGTATACATAAGGGATTGCATTTACCATCCTCTGCATAAATGTTTATTTTCTCATCACACTCTCATTTTGTATACAAGAATATAAAATCTTTTAACTTTGTAAGATGGACGATCCTCAGTTTTTTATGACTTTGGAACATTTCTCAGGTGGAGGAGTATCAGGGAATGCTGGAGAACAGTGGTTTGGTGGGCTACGCCCAGGAGGTGCTGAAAGAAACTGACCAGTCCTGCTTTGTACAAACTGCAAAGCAGCTTCATGTCAGGTGGGCGATTATTTATTTATTGCATTGCTGGTCATTACGTCAATCTGTACTGATATTTAATCAATAAAATTGTGAAAGTGTTAGTCATGATATGGTGAGCCCAACAAGAAATTTACATTTGTAGTGTTGAATATAATTTAAATAAACTTTGTAACCCCTCAGACTAAAGGTGGTTATTTGGTGCATCTCCAGAGATGCTGTTTCTATTTTTCCTGTAGCATTCACATGTCTGGTGTGTTATTTTGGTGATGGGTGCATCAAGCTGATTATGTGTTGTGGTGGGTGTACCGGGTCAGAAACACAGCCACGTGCTCAGAGGTTACCAAACTTGAGAGGAGACGAATCCAGAATGGTGCGGCAGTGTCCACTCAGGACAGTGTGTTGCTGTCTTCACCTCTAAGCTGGCTAATTGAGCAGCATTATCAGCTTTGGATAATCGGGGAAATGTTTCACTCAAGAGTATGATGCTCGGGCATTTTTTTCTGTTGTCAGCAAAGATCTATTTTCTGTTCCTCTAATGATTCCATATGAAAGACTTGCAAAAAAAAAAATCAAGGACAGGCCCAATGCTGGAAAAATGTCTTATTTTGATGTAATTTGTTTGCATGTCTGCTTTTAGGATCCAGAGAGCCACAGATTCTCTGAGGACCTTCCATCCTGCAGCCGACCCCTGCTTTGATGAGTTTGTGCTGGAAACATCCAGAGAAGAAACTCTGCTTAAAGAGATGTGCTTTGGTGGAGGTATGACCAGTTTGTTAAATCTCATACGTTCAGAATGGCATAAAATCAAGTTTTTAGACTGAAAATCTTGAACTGTTCACACACTGGTGATCACCTGCCTCTCACATGCAACACCATGTGAACCGTGTTTGTATGTGGGCAAGTAATGGGATAAGCTGGTCAAGCTGGAGATAGAGGTGAGTTTTTCTCCACCTGATCTGCTGATTTACAACGGCTGTTTCAGGTGGCTCCTTAAGGGGCTGAGATAAACAGGCAGAAAAAGATCTACTTGGTATACGGGTGCGTTCAGTACAGCTGCTCAATAAATTTCTTTATGCGTGTTTTGTTGCCGTCCAATATTATTGGATATTGCAATTTATCCGTATTGTATGCACATTGCAGAATGCTCCCAAGCCCCACCAAAGAACGAATAAGGGGTTTGTCCAAATTGCAGTCATCACAAGGCTGCCTAAATTTCAAGCATCATTATTATTATCATCAGAATGGGAGCCATTCTGTAGTGAGAGGAAGGCAGATACAATTTATATAGAACAATTCACCAAGGCAATGCAAAACCGTTCATAAATCACCCAAAACACCAATAACTATAGATGGAGAGGGGGAAAAGTTAAAAAAAAAAAGGTGGCAAAAGAGAAGGGAATTAAATCCCAAATACAGATTTTTGTGGCAACAAAGGCTGATGCAGACATGCTATTCACTGAAAAGTTGTTTCACAAACATTTTAAACCCAAACTGTATTCATCTCCATGTCAAATTTTTTTTTCATTAAAAATTCCATTCTTGTTTTATTATTTTTGCCTTTCTCGTAAAAATGGCGTCCGACCTAATCTCGGCTGCAGCCTCTTTGGGCGGGGGCTCTTGGCAGAGGCTGTGTAGCAGTGGTATTGATGCGGCTGTGATGTGTGTAACCTGCAGAACTCGTCTGCAGTGACACTTGCTGAACTCGGGGGAGAAAATGCAGCAGCGGCATTTTTGTGCAGCAGTATTTTAGTTTCAGCATTGGCTGATAATGCAGCAGTAAACAAACCAAGCCTCTCGGGATGAATGCCCCCTCAGTATATAAGAAACTGTAATAGTTTTCTGAGTAGATTGAATTTTTATGCACAGCAGACTGTTTGAGGCCCACCAGAAGTGATTGTGGCTTGGCCATATTTTGTAGACATATCCTCTGATTTCTTCTCCAATGGCCACTCTGTTTTGACCACCATGCCCTGCTTCTGGAGGGGCTGTGAAAGACTGTTGTCCCTTCTAAAAGCCCATTTTGTGCTCCATTTCATAGTTTCCTTTCTCAAAAGGTCAGAATCTAGCAGAGCGTTGTTCTTTGTTAGCTCTTTTTTGTTGTTGAAAAGTGAAATGGGTAATGATGGAAATTTTGAGGGTAGTTCACAAAATAAAATCTAATTTCTTGCATCGTGATTGCTAAAGCAGTTAATCTCTTATCTACATTTTACCTATTCATTAACCTAAAAGCAGTGGCTACTTTGAGAAGGAGGGCTGGCTGGCTGAAAAGACCTTGGAGACAAATTATCCAAATAACTTTTGGTCTTCAGAGCACTCAGGGAGTCTGTCCATCGTGGGAGGAAGAGTGTATGGAAAATAGGAATGTGGATATAGAAAAACAGAATTTTGACTGAAAAATGCAACAAAGAGGGGTAATCTAATAAGCGCCGTGCAGAAATGTACTAATCTTTGTGAGAAAGATGGCTGCTCTATTGCATTTCAATTTGAGGATGAACATTTCTGACTGAAATTATCAGTAACAAGGGATGAAGTTGTAGATTAATGCAAAAGAAGTGAGATGTTCCATTTTTCTCGGGAAGTCTCCTCTTATGCTAACAAAGAAGGATAAAATAAATGTTGATAGTGAGGTTTCATCAGGTGCTGGGGGTGTTTTTTTATTTTCATAAAGTGCATTTCTAGCCAGTGTGTGTAATAACCACTTAAGCGAGGTTACACAAGGGAAGGTGATCTCGTCCACGCTCTCATCCAGAAAGTCCTGATCTTAACGAACTTAATCTTTCCCATGCTTTCATTGCTTAATTTGCTTAAACCCAACTTGAGGCTTAAGTGCAGTATTTAGTGTGATTAAAGCATTAGTGAATTTGACCATAGTTCCCTTGTGCCCTTGTTTTTCTCTCCTTATTGATGATTTTTATTTGTTGTATCCACTTTTTAATAAATAAAAAAAAGTATTTTATTTTTGCTCCATGGTGTTGAGTCGGCCATTTTAATTTCTTATGTAAATGGATAACAGATTTATTTCCCTCCCAGTTCCAGATCCCCCTCTGATTGACTTGTCGAACAGCAGAGTCTATAACGAGGCCTCTATCTGCTGGAGGCAGTCTGACGACCACCTTCCCACCGATCACCACGTGCTTGAGTATCGCAGGTGGGCCACAACAGTGTTTTTGTGTGGGGTGGGGGGGATTGGGGACAAATTTCTCATAATCGTCTTTCTCCAGACTCAGGGGCCCAAGCCAGTCCCCATCCCTGGAGGATGGAGAGGACAGTGGCATATGGAGGGCTACAGACAGAGTGTACGGACCCAGCACCGTAGTGCAGGACCTGGACCCCGAGAGCATGTACTCCTTCAGAGTGAAGACCTGCAGGAATTCAATGTTCAGCCCTTACAGTCCTGAAGTCACCTTCCATACACCACCTGCACCAGGTAAAGTCTGATGCATGTGCAGAATTATGGACCCCCATTTTTAAAAAAAAGAAGTTATTTTCATTTTCTTAAATGACCATTTTAATTTTTTCTTTGTTGCCGGTATGTTTTTCTTTGTCCTTACAGCTAGAAAAGGAATTGGAGGTAGGGAGGCGGAGATGTTTGGACTAGAATCTTATTCTTTTTAACATTTGTTCATTCAAGTTCAGCCAGTTCAAGCCGTTGTCAAGTCCAATAATTAACAAGCAACAGGACGACTGGGGAAGCAGTCCCCTTTATTGGGCCTCTTTTTTTTTTTTGGCAAAAGTAGTTGCTAAGCTCCCATTCTTTTCAGATGAGTGTCTGTATGCAGGCTTTTCTTTTTTGGAGGACTGACAGATGACAGTTGCTTATACTTTATTTATTTTTTAATTATCTTGGAGCTTGCTCAATTGGGGGGAGGGGGGGATGAAGCACACAGCAGTTTTTGGTTTATCACCATGGCAATGGCTTATGGATCCCACTATGCTACAACCAGTTTAGTTTTTGTCTGAATGCGTTGGTGTGTACAGTGCCACAGCTTGGAAAGAATCCAGCATCTGTTGCTGCCATTTTAAAGCTTTACAGAAAAAGAGGGAATTTATTTAATAAGGATCTTCATTCCAAACAATCTGTTGGATTTGATTTCAGATTTCACTCTGCAAAGGGATGTATCACTGTTGAATGTTCATGGATGGTTTATAGCTCAATTTTTGTCTTTTTCTGTTGACCATCTTTAGCCAAGTGTGGTGGTGTAGATCCAACCTCTTACTCCTGACTGATGGCCCACAAATTGGAATCTTTCTTTGTCTAAATTCTTTTTAATTGAAAATAAATTAATTTACATGAAAGCCACCCAATTATACTAAAATCTACAATTTTATATACCTCTGTGATGCATAGAAGACAAAGCACATACAAAGTGGGTCGTGTGACAATTATGGTAAATACTCTACATGTATTTAATTTGTGAGTATACACAGATGGCTACATCAAAAAAGTACCTCGAAGTCTTTTAAGCACAACCGCTCTTCATCAGACTTAAAAGTAGAACAAAATTGTCATCCTTCTGAATCCCATTAAAAAAAAAAAAAAATCTAGACCTGTATTTTGATAGGAGGGAATTCTCCAGTTTTTTAGTTTGACCTACTAAATATCTTTTTGTTTTATTAAACATAGCTAACATTGATACATCTTTCAAATTTGGTACACAAAAAATCTAAGCTTCCGCATACACTGAAACACCTAGTGTCAAAGAGCCCAAATGCTCCCATCTCAGTATGGGGGAAAGAAAAGCTATACATTAGTGCATGTTTTTGGCACAATGTTGGGCAGGCATCATGATGTGAGTCAGTACTGCTGGATCCTGCTACTAATGATGACCTCATAAAAGTTGCTGCATATAGCAGCCTATTGACCCTTTAGGCAGGCTCATATTATCATGCCCCACTTGTTTTCGGGACCCCCCTACATATGCAAATGAACTGGTCTATAGCGGTGTTGGCTTCAGAATGCATGGATGAGTAAACGGCGTAATCGTGTCAGCCTGTATGTGTCCAGGATTATGGTAATCATGGCCTTCAGCTGCTGTACTATTTTTAGCACGAATTTCATTTCAAACAGATGAAGTATGTAAAAAGGGAGCAGCACATGAGAAACAATGACCCTTTTTCTTGAGGAGGAAATCGGTTTGGTTTGCATGATTGCATTACAGCGCCCCCATGTGTCAGTTTTTGCTGCTTACACAGCATTTCAAATTGATCAGGTTAAATCCTTCTTGTTTTGAATCATTTTGTCAACTTCACTGATTTACAGAATTTATTTATTTTTGTTTCTTCTCTCCCTCGTCATCTGACCTGTTCTTTGTCGAACTCTTCACCTGCAGCTTTTGGCTTCCTGTTCAGTGATAAGTGTGGATTCAGCACCGAGCGCCTGGTCCTGAATAAGCGCAGAGACACTGTAGAGAGCGTGGCGGGCATGGCCTTCCTCCTCGCAGCAGAACGTGTGCAAACGGGCAGCTACATCAGCCTGGATTACATAATTGGGGACACGGGTATCTCTCAGGGAAGGTATGTGCAGTTGTGTGGAATAACATGATTTATTTTGAACACGTTCAAAGGAGCCTCGGTTAAAGAAAGTGTGAAATGTGCACATGTTAACTGTGACATTAACAAGGGAAAAATCTGTCTTGAAAATCTAAAAATGCATTGTCATGTCAGAGTTTGAAATTCATTTGTTTTTTGCAGTCGTGTGATTTGAGAACAAATTAAGTGTCTTTGTTAGTTGATAGCTGGTCACTGTGCTAACTGCTGCAGTAAAAATGTGTTTCCTCTTTATTTTGCAGACACTACTGGGCCTTCAAAGTGGAGCCACATTCTTACATGGTTAAAGTTGGAGTGGCCTCTGACACCAAGCTGCTTGAATGGTTTCACAATCCCAGAGATACTAGCAGTCCAAGGTAAAAGCAGCACGTACAGTCTAAGCAATAAATAAACCAATCTGTTTACCTTCTTTAAAAAAAAAAAAAAAAAAAAAAAAAAGGTCTTGAGATCAAACTTGGACACAGCCTCTGAACTGTGCGGGGTGTGTGTTTTAATTAATCCTGTGATGTAAGAGAACCAGTACAAACTCCATAAAGAGCTTACTCCCAGACAAAGCTGTCTTTTTCTCATTGAATTGGCTCATGTAAAAGCATGTAAAGGAGCCCATTACTTAAACGAGTGAAAATGAATTATGTGGTAATTACATAAGGCGATAAGCAGCGTTCAATCTGTAATTAGAGAACTGAGTATATCGGGCAAAAAAATCTTTCTTATTAAATGAATACTTTTTTAAAGAAGTATTTATTTATTTCCCCAGGTATGACCATGACAGCGGGCATGACAGCGGCAGTGAGGATGCATGCTATGAGGTGTCCCAGCCCTTCACCCTTCTCACTATGGGCATGGGCAAACTTTTCTTCCCCAAGGCTTCTTCATCCTCTTCGGTTTCCACAGCAAACGCACCGTCTGGCGACCCCGGCAATCGAATCCTTCCCATGCCACAGCGGTTGGGCATCTGCTTGGATTATGATGCGTGCCGAGTATATTTTTACGACGCCGACACCATGAGGTGCCTTTATGAGAGGCAGGTGGATTGCTCTGGAACAATGTATCCAGCGTTCGGCCTCATGGGCAGCGGAAAGATTCAGCTGGAGGAGTTTATCACCGCTAAGCGACTGACCTTCTGAGAAGGGACGGAGGATGTTGACGTATTAGTAACTGAATTTGTTTAATATTTCATTAGTTCTGTGAAGAGCTGCTTTTACTGACAGGGTGGTGGAAGTTCTATCCAAATGTTGTCTTTTTTTTATGAGGCAGTGGTCAATGGGTACTTTTCCTAAATGTGAAACTGGGATACTTATAGTGGTCTTAAGCGTTTGGTATAGATATGAAAGGTTTCTTCTGCATACCAAAGTACCTGTATCTGTTTGTCGTATTTGACTTAGTTTTAAATTGCCAGCTGGGACCAGCTGTTGCAGTTGTCTGCACAGTTTGCAGTCTTTTTTTTTTCTTTTCTTTTTTTAACATGGCCCACTTTGAGCCTACACTTCCTCTTTTGTTTGGTTAATTATTGTTCTAGATTATTGTGTGTAAATTCTGTGTAGTGCTCATGGGCTGTTTCCTCTTTTTGAACATAGCAGCACAGGTGTAGGTGTAATCTTAGTTGATCTGAGAGAGCCTTGTAGCTAATTTTAAAGTTAGTGCCTTTGCATTTTTTCTTCTTTTAAGGAAAGCATCACTGAGTTTATTCTATGGAAGAAATGATGGTGTAACGGCACAAATTTAAATGCTGTGTCGATTTACTGTAGATATAGTTTTGTCAAGGACACTGGTGTTGGTCACAACCATTTACTCTTAATCTCTGAAAAACTACTTTCCATTTTAATGTGGTTATATTTGGCTGGTTTTGCACAAAACAAGTAAAAACATGCACGTGTTAAACTCAATCACTACCTAGCTGGCTTCTCTACTTTAAATGTTGTCAACGCACTGCAATCAGCACACTGTCTTATTGACACTCACAAATGTCTGCCTTTGGTTAAAAATGGTGTACGTCACTTTTCTGTTGCAAAGCACAATGTATGTTTAACGTCACAAACTTATCTGGGAACCAGGGAACTTGGGCTCGATAACTGCAACATCATCGATGGCCAGCTTTTTGGCTCTGGTGCTGACTTAAGTTCACCAAACACCCGGCTCTGTGGCCTCGCAGCCTTTTAACAGTTTATTCAGGTTCTTGGAAGAAGTGCTATCTCACACAAACATCACATTTTGCTGAAAAACCATCATTAATTTGCACTGTACTCACATTAACTGTAGCATGTTTTTATATTGCTTAGTTTGGCCAGTGGGCACCCAAGTGTATGCTTTGCTTTGACTGGATCAATTCTGATATGTAAGCCTGAAAGCACACTGGACCGTTTGCTGGGAAACTACACCATTTTCTTTTCACAATTTCACATACTGTATATGTGCCTGCACATGGTTTGGTTTGTACATCTATATATTTAGATTTCTGGAGGGTTAGGATATGAAGTTTGCGTGTGTTTTCTCAGGTTTCTGAGCCCGATTTGGGCCTAGTGTTGCCTACCTCTATCAGCTAAGCCTAGAAAACCTTAACTACTGTACCTTTCCTGACAGAAACACTTTGGTTTTATTTTCAGTTGCTTTGTAATAGTTGAGTATGTTAAGCTTTTGGTAATATCTGATTATAGGCTGATCTGTCTCTCTTTTTTTTAATTTTTTATTATTAAAATTCCATGTGCATACTAATCCAGAATATATTATTATTAGTTAAATAAATGACAATATAAATGTTCATGCAAGTAGATGTTTGCTTGTGGATTGCTATTTACAAAAATGACTACGCGGATATTGCCCTGTTCACCTGCCTTCATCAACGGAGTGTGTGAAATGGAATAGCCTTCCATTCATCTCATCTGTGGTGTTGGTTTAAAGATTTGGTTTTTAGAGTATGGAATATATTTTTGCTTTGGATATACCGGT